ACTGTTGCGTTGTGAATCACCACGGACGTAAATGACTTCTGTTTTACTGATTTCTGCAGCTTTTGCGAAGCGGCGAGAGGCCCCGCCGCGGTGGTTTAGTGGCTAAGGTACTCGACTGTAGACCCACAGGTCGCGGCATCGAATCCCGTTTGCGGCGGCTGCATTTTCGATGAAGGAGAAAGTGGTGTAGGCCCGTGTGCTCAAATTTCGGAGCCCTTTAAAGAACCATAGGTGTTCTAAATTACCAGAGACCTCCACTACGGCGTCTCTCATAATCAAATGGTGGCTTTGGGACGTTGAACTTTAATTTTTAATCAATCAATCAATCAATCAAAGAACGGTGAGAGTGCTGGATACGGGTGGTTGCGATCGTGTTCGGTAAGCATATTAGTCGCGTTCTCTGCAGCCGGTCGCACGAGAAAGTGTGATAATGTAGGTCTCCTGTTATAGTGTTTGTATCCTTGACAGAGAATCGTGGTAAGTTTGATAATGAAGCTTAACAGAGCCTCTGACCGCGGTGCGCGCCGCGCAACAGTATGACCCGTGACGCGCGCGATAAACAGCGCACACTCCGCGACCCCCGATAATCTGAAGCTGTCGCCACAACGCATCATTACGCACGTAGGGCTTTGAAGGCTCTAAGTTCTGAATTTAACTAGGAAATGCGAGCACTTGCGTCATACAGTTAAATAGCAAAACTATCACGAGCACAATCAGGTTTTTCTTGCTGTCGTCCACGCAATTGCCGGAGCTATCTCGGAAGCCTCGGTTTTGCCTGTCGTTGTACATCAAGGAAGTGTACACGCATGTATCGCCATTTGTAGTATATACAAGCTGAAGACAACTGCAAACAGAACATTCTGATTGATTGATATGTGCGGTTTTAACGCCCCAAAACCACCATATGATTATGAGAGACGCCGTAGTGGAGGGCTCCGGAAATTTCGACCACCTGGTGTTCTTTAACGTGCACCCAAATCTGAGCACATGTACGGGCCTACATTTCCGCCTCCATCGTAAATGCAGCCGCCGCAGGCGGGATTCGATTCCGCAGCCTGTAGGTCAGCAGCCGAGTACCTTAGCCACTAGATCACCGCGGTGGGGCAACAGAACATTCTAGCGTGCGTAATAAAGCAGTTTAACAGCTAGGGAGCGAGAGATCGATGGATAAGGCAACTGCAAATATGAAAATCGCCAGGACCATTCGCGCCGGATAAAGCGAGCTTCATACCACTGACCTTAAGATAAGTTGATCGTACATGCACCTCATTGCTTTCACATCATGTCTATGCTTAAGTTTAATGCAATTAGGTGTTACAAAAAGCACGTTGAAGTGATTAATTGCCTCGAACTCGATGTCATGCGATGCCTGATTGCACTTGAATTGCGAGCTGCAGCACGCCGAAATATCTGAAACATCTATTGCATTGTACCCGCAGTTCGTTTTGATGAGCTTCATTATTTTCCGAAGCGAGGTTAGACTGAAGGAGGAAGCTTGCCAGGTCCTTGAATAAAGGGAACCATGCGTCAACACCGAAGAAAGAGAAGGGTCTATGCACGTTCTCTTGCAGACGGCTCTCTTTGCACTATCCAGTTATAGCCGGTGCCGCGTTGGTGGCGGTGTTTTACGCTGCGCCGCTTGGACAGTCTGACGTATGTAAGAGAGGGGGGGGGGAATTATAAGATCTGCATCTTGCTGGTACTTATCTACGAAGCAGAAATTTGGATGCGCACATAGAGGGTCCAGCTTCATGAGGACAACGCAGCGACTGGTGGACAGGAAAATGGTAAGTGTAACCTTAAGAGACAAGAAGAGAGCAAAGCGAGTCAGGGGATCAACCGGGGTTCCGGGTATCATAGTTGAAATCGAGAAGAAGAAAGGTACATGAGCCGGCCATGTAGCGCGTAGGCAGATAGCTGATGGTCATTTAAGGATAACTGACTGGATTCCCAGGGAAGGGAAACGCAGGAGGGGGAGACAGAAAGTTAGGTGGGCCAATGAGATTAAGAAATTCGCAGGTACAACGCGGCAGCAGAAAGCATAAGACAGGGTTGATTGGCGGATCAAGCGAGAGGCCTTTGCCCTGCAGTGGGCGTAGTCAAGTTGATGATGATGATGACTTTACTTTTACCTACTTTCTTCACAAACATGAAAAAATCTCACGACTTTGATATACATGTACACAATCTGCCCAAACTACTGCCGATGGCCAGGTCACAGAGGAAAGCGGATGCCTGCGTCCCCCCTTCCCCCCAGTCGGGTTGGTGTGAACCCCACCACCCGAAAGAAATTTCTGGCTACGCCCCTGGTTGCGTCAATTAATTAGAGTTGATGCGGATCCCAAACCGATTATCCATACTCATGCTGAAGACGAATATACAGGGTGTACAGCAGTAATTTTAGTGAAGGTGGAGCGAGAAAAGGATTTCTTTTTATGTATCCCAGAGTATGGTTACTTTTGAATATTATGTGTTCGACGTGATGTTTCCATGACAAATCATTAGTTATGTGGACGCCAAGGTAACGGTATGACTTGATAGATTCAAGAATGGGGTTCTTATTCACATATGTTGGGCATGCTGCGTTAGAGCACGAAACTCGCAGGTATTTGCATTTGTTAGCATTGAGCTCCATGCGCCAAGTGACGCAACATGCAGTTGTGGACGTGCTTCAGATTGAACTGTAGATTAGTGACGTCATAGGTGGTAGTTATCCATCGATATATGACACAGTTGCCTGCAAATAAAGAAATTTGGGTGGACATGTTATCGGGTAGGTCATTTATATATATTAAGAACAGAAGAGGACCCAGAAAGCACCCCTGAGGAACGCCGGATTCAACAGGGGCCATGTCGGACATGCTATCATTGGTGGCGACAAAATGAAGCTGAGACACAAGAAACGCTCGAATCTAGTTAACGATTGCAGGGTATATATTTAGTACGCTTAGTTTACACAAGAGAGCTGATGGTTCACTTTGTCAAAGGCTTTACAGAAGTCAAGAAATACGCAGTCAATGGGAAAGCCAAAGTCAAGGTAAGTGTGCAGGTCATGAGTAAATGAAAGCAGCTGTGTTTCGCAAGAGAAAGATTTGCGAAACCCACGTTGAAACATTGAGAAGAAATTATTGTTTTCAAAAAACTTAACTACATGAGTGAAAATGACATGCTCCATCATTTTGCATGATATTGAAGTTAAAGATATTGTTAGATGGTCAAGAGGACTATGAGTTTCACCGGGTTTAAAGATTGGCACAGCCTTTCCTATCTTCCCGTCCTGGGGTAATGAGGCAGACTGCAATGATTTTGAAAAGATGTATATTAAGACGACGCAGCAATACTCAATGGTATTTTTCAAAACTTTTGAGGTGATACCATCGGTGCTACAAGACGAGCTAAGCTTTAAAGGGGTCCTGCAACACCTTTTGAGCATTCTCAAAAGCAACACCTTTTGAGCATTCTCTTTACACTGCCTATCGGTAGTGTAAAGGCTCCTGACAACATGCGAGCCAAATATAGCGCAGCACGCGGCCTGGAATTCCCAATAAATTATCAAAGAGAGCTAAAAACTGCTTTCTCTTTTCTCGACACACACGTAATAAGCCCGAAAATTACTCGTAGTAGCTCCTTCTATGAGCCATTGGCGGATTTGAACATGGCGCGCTCAGTCGTTACAGAGATTGCCGCGGGAGGTTGCGACTTGTCGACGCATACACGCACGATAACACTGAAGCCGCGCAATCGAAGAAAAGAAAGAAGAAAAGTGCTCAAGATCACAAGGTGTGCGTGACATTTTTCTTTGCACCTGCCATACCTCTATGCTTATCTTGCAGCGATTTCGTCGGGACGAGATAAGCGAGAATGCAATTGCAGAATGCGACAAGCCTTTGTAACTCCACTTCCACTGGACGGATTTCAAAACTTTTTGCGCTGTTTGACTGGTGAGGCAATCAGCTCTTCGAGAGAGTCCATTCCATGGTTACTTGAAAAAATGTTTTAGGGCCCCATTAAGTTCTTAATTTTTTTAAGCCAGCAGACTCAAAAATAATAGGGCTCAATAGAGAAAAATTATAAGGGGTCACATGTGGTAGTTCATTGCTGGGCCTCGAAGAGGAAATGACTAGATGAGCGTATTGTTCAAAATGGTTGCACATCGTTCTCCCACGCCCACCGAGCGGGATGCAACTTGTGATATCACTGAGCGAGTGGCAGGAATGAGCGAAGAAAATTGTTAAGAACGCAAGTCTACCAGCCAATTCACCGATGAATTATTCACAAAATAAGAAATTAAAAGGTAAATAAACAAGAGTTATTTACCATTCCAAAAATCTTATTCATTGGCAAAAACTCGTGTGAGAACACAAACTCAAACATTCACATCAACGTCGCTTCGTACAACCAGATCTTAGGACACCCGGCAACTGCAACGAATGCACCTGTTACTTAAAATCCTCTGTTTACAGGGCCTGCCTGTCTGTCCTCTTACACGATGCCGCTACTGGGGCGGAGGCTTGGTGGGTGGTATCTTCTCGTCGGATATCGCGTCCGTTGAAGAAACGCATTGAGGCAACGGCATGCTAACTTGGGCGTTCATCGCGTGATCGAGCGAGATCTCGTAGTACACATGGTGCTTGGTAATTAGCTTTCGGGAAACTTTTTGTAGGCCATTTGTTCAAGCATGGTGAGAAACGCCAAAGCTCGCCTCTCTATTGTTTCATTTCCTAGTTCACAAGTAATAGAAACTGGCGCATTTTATGTAACGTGCGCATGCGTTGGACGCCCGAAAAAAAAAGGAAGAAAAATAAACTGGCATTTGCACGAGAGTATAGCATGCATGCATGTCTAAATGTGAGCAGTGGGCAATGGGAGACCAATTTATGACACTTCAATTCTAGTTTACTGATTGAGAAGACTGCAGGTGAGACGTGCTTTGCATGAGCTAGATAGTTTTTCGCAGAAGTAATAATTCGTGGCTTTGCATGATGATCACTTCATTTCAGTGTTGCATGTGGACCCAGATGTGGCTGGTGCGACGTTCATGGCAGCGGCCAGCTCGGTCCCAGCCATCGCTGCCTCGATCATCGCCATCATGGTGGCCAAGGCAGGTGCTGCGTGTAGATTTCGGTTTTAATTGAGACTTTTGTTACTGTGCATGCGTTAAGACCTTTCATTGACTTTGCCCATCAGCACGTAAATCTTGTTTTGAGTGAAGATAATAGGAAGTGTGCATTCCCGTGGCATCATGCAGGACGGTGTCATGTTACCACCGGCGTAGATATGGTCAGCCGTCAATGATATGGATTATGCACATTTCCTAACAGCAACTACTCTGGTCACCCGTAAGGCGCATGCCTCAGCAGCAAGTGCCAGTGGTCCGTTTCTGGGGCGATCCCTTTTTTTTATTTATTTTACCCTCAGGGTACACAGTACATTTCAGAGGGGAACGGGCAGTGTACAACATAAAAACAAGAAATAAAAAGCATAATACAAAGCCAAACATAGCAAAAAAACTGAATGAGGCAGAAGAATAAATACAACTAACTACATCAAAAAAAAAACGGAACAAAAAGTAAGGAATGAACAATATGATTGAGTCGGTGTCTCCTCTAGTTTGTCAATGCCAGTCAGATGCACCCGATCCAGCCGTTCACCTCCGTTTCTTCCAGCCCTTTCCTGCTCTTGCCTTTCGTCTAGCATTCACGTGTGTTTTGCGGTCATGGGAAAGAGAGCCCCTCATGCAGTGCTTCACGACGGGAACAACATGAAGTATCTTTTGTTTTGTTGCGTACGGATCCACGGGGCAGCGTCTTGCATTCTTCGGGATCACCATGTTGGCGGTTACGCTGGCTCTGTAAGAGATGCGGTGTTTTGAGATAGCGTGTCGCCTATCGGGACGCGATGCGGGCAACCACTGTAGCGTTCCTCGATGCACACGCCCCTTTGCAGGGTAGACTCACTTTTTGAAGGGGTGAGTGCCACCTTCCTATCAGCGGCCGCCATTCGGCTCCCCTCGTCTCGTCGCGGCTGGTTGAGTGAGACTAGAGCTGATGTATATGCCCCAGCTGGCATATACAGTAACTCCAAGTGAGACACGTGCGCGGCGTTTTCTCGGGCAAAATGCCCGGGTGTTGCGTGCCACAGTGCACAAACCACTCGCGAAATGGCTATAGGATGTTCAGATTTCCGAAAGATTCGAAAAGGCGACTCCTGTGTGGTAAAAATCAAGCGCGAGAAGTGGCAACCCACAGACCATTCGTGTTTGTGCAGCGTACGTTATGCCATTTCAGCATTTCGAGAGTTATAACTGAAAGCGCTGCCACTAGGGCACTTTTGATCGTGATCGAGCCTGATGCGACTGAATCTCTTACGCCAGCTACAGAAGGACGCCAATCACTGTTTAGAAATTTGATCCCGATGGGGCCTGATTGCGATCACCAGTGCGGCCGGGTGCAATACACGTTCATTTGCATGCTGCGTGCATGCGTATTTAACTTGTTCATTTTGGGCAGCACAGAAAGCTTTGTTCTTAATCGCTTGTTGTACATAAGCTGCGATTACACGAAGATGTGCGCCTACGCAGTGTGCGCTTGTTGCTACCGGCGCCTTCAAGTGTTTGTTTTTGTAACACCATATCGAAAGCACGCATCCGATCAGTTTATTGTCAAAGAATATTTTCTCATTGTTCCTGTTTGTAAAAGAAACCGACACTCTTTCAAATCTTTCTTATTCACCCTTAGGCTTCGCCTGCAGCAGTTCGGTGGCCGGCGATCTGTCGACCGGGTTGCCGAGGCCAAAAGCGCTTCGACCGGCAAACCACCAGCTGCTTGTTTTGTTTCAATGTTTCTTTTTGACATTGTCTTGAGTTTGCCTGTTGCTTGTTATATATCCGCTAACATAGTTGTCCAGGTTTTTTTGCTGTTCGTAAGTTTTTGCAGCCACGTGATACTCTTTGGCTGGCCGTCACGGCTATAGGCGGCATGCGGAGAGGGAATCATGATGACGGACACCGTAGCAGACGACACGTTTGCCGCCACCCTCCAAGGCGGCAGGTGGGGGCGCGCGTATCGAGGAACCCTGAACCAGTGGGGACACGTCACGGTGACGCCGCTGCATAACTAGTGCTGTGAAGCCGTGGCGGCATTGCTTCCAGCTACAAAGAAGGATCATGAAGGAACAAATCTGACGCACGTATGATATTGGAGAGAAACACGTCTATCGCGTCTCCATGGAAACGCGTTTGGAATCACGTGTGACGCAAGCAGCGCCACCCCTCATGCACCTTTGTAGTAGGACCACCCTCTTAACTATGGCGGACGGATGGTTCCCCATGAAGAGCGCAAATCTGCACTGGCATTGAATCAACTAAAATAGGCTCGCGTATCCACGTATCGGTGTCACTACCTGCCCGGCTCTCTTCAGCGCAGTCAATCTGTGCGCATTGAAAGCGATATTATGGCGATATCTTCCGAAGTGATTGTCTAAGAATACTACCTCAACTAACCGAGGATGGGGCAGGCTTTGGTTTTCACCAGTCGTTGTTGTTGCCATCAACACGCTTCCACACTGCGTGCCATGACGGATTAAAGAGCCCCGCAAAGGAAGCCCGCGTAGTCAAAATAACTGCTGTGGCGCTCATGGACGTGTCATGTGTCGTTGCGTAGGTAATAAGTGTTGACGAGAGGAGAACCAAATTTCAGTTGGAATTTTAATTTATTGCATTCAGTTACAAGTAAGGGCTTGGGACGGGGTAATAAGTGGCTTCAGCTTGACAATGCTCCAAGGGTGTTGTGTGTAAAAAGTCTACACGAACGACTGGTCATGTAGGCTACTTGTGTGGCGGCAAGCATACCTAGGAAACCTAGAAACAGGTATGTTTGCCAGTATTTGCTGATACGGCCGTTAGCGCCACATGATTTACATCGAAGGAATCTACTGAAGTCTACAGGTGCAGCCTCAAGCCTTCCCGATAGCCATTCGGTTGAGCCTCGTGGCGTTACACAGATAGCCGCTTCTCATTTTTCTGAAGAAGTAACTAGTGAGCAGTGGACAACCTACAGAGGTCAGGAAACGTGTCTAGAACGCCGGAAAGGCATGCCCCAGCACTATCGGGTGCCATGTATACCGATATCTAGTTGTCGATAGCCCACACTTAAGCATTTAACTTTATCGGCTTTGCATGCGAGAATTTGGGCTCTTTCAAAGCAGTGGCAGGCATCAAACGTCATCAGTGCAGCGCGCCTGTTCAGTGTTATAGACCAACGTGTTGACCAGTGACCTGCACTGTACCACGTTACGAACTCACACGGCAACACAGAATGCTCGACAGTAAGACGGCTCTGGTCCCTGCCTAGGTGATCCGAAGGTTGCAGGACGGAATCCACGACAGCAGCATTTTCGACGGAGAAAAATATGTTTGAGATCCGTATGCTGAACTCTAGGTACACATAAATATTACCCTTCGGTCGAGTTGCGACGCGGCATGAATTGGTGCAACGTGGAAGAAAACAGGGTCTCGTGGCGCAACGGAGCAAATTGTCATCAGGCTGCCAAGTGAATGAACTATATGTACACAGTGGGGATGACGACCAACGTTTTTAAATTATTTTGATGAGGACCACAAGAATGCAAGGTAACCTTAAACAGTGTCACCATGATTTCACCAAGACGCACCTTCTTTTTTTTTATTTGTCACGTGAGCTTCTGGCTGTCCAGCGTGCACGTGATCGAGCCGGCAGGCTAGACGTGTTCCGTCGTGGGATTACACAGGTGCGCGTTTTGTCGCTTTTTGCCGGACCAAATAAAGTTCATTCACTCATTCACTCACTCACTCACTCACGTGAGCTCAAAGTCACTTGAAAAGGCGTAGCCAGTTGAAGCCAATCGCTTTGCCAATCTCATGCACTTAGAAACTTCCTGTTTGACTTGTTTTTGCGTTCTTTTAACCTTTGTTGCTGGCTGCGGCTGCTTGTGTGTCGATGTTTTATGCGAATAGAACTGTTACGATGAAGCGCTCGCAACTCGGGCACAGCTGTGTCAAGCCAGCATGCAGTGTGTCAGTTTAACTAATTTTATGTGCTAGTTAAAACGTTCTGTTCTCCAGAGAACCGACGGAGATAGAAAAAAAAAACGTCTGCATTGCGGTGATCGCGCAAGAAAACCGGATTCGCTCAAAGAGCGCGTAGGTTTGATTCAGTTTACTTGTCAGTAAACCATAATAGTTCAGTTGACCCAGCAGCAGTTGACATCATGGAATATTGAGCAGATTTTATAATTTCTCAGTCACACTGCACATTTTGGATCGTGATCAATTCCGATCGCTGCTGATCTCTATAAAAAGTGCCCGGAGTGACACAGGCGCAGACATAAGCATTTTACCCCAGGCTGTGTGCTTAGACGAAAACAAAAATATGGTCGTGATTTGGCAAGAGACTAGTTTTCTGCTCTAGTCGAAAAGCTGAATTGTGCAACTTCACTATGGGTCTGGCAATTTTCTTCTGCACGTCAGCAATGTGGGTGCACTTGTAGACGAGAACATGGAAAACACAGGTGTGTCCGGTGTCGTCCTTGTCCGCATCTTCAAAGCGCACCCACATCGTCGACAGGAAGAACCAAGCGGACCAACTAGGGGCTGAAAATCTTCTCCTGCAGTTAATGCATTTTCTGTCTGTACCTCTCTCGTAGGCAACGTTGATCCCCTACATTTATCCGCTAAGTTGCTCTAAATACATCCTAAGGAATGCGCCAGAAATAACAGAGCAGCAAACTCAGACCCCACAAAAACATCAGAATCATTGGAAAAGCGTTGCCGAAAGTGGTGCTCCGGAAGTCTTGTTGGGCAGGCAGCGTTCGGTGCGAGACAGTTTGTTTACAAACACCGAATGCGCATGTAGTACATACTACAAGAACCCGTAAAGGCGAGCTATAACAAAACATATACTAACCAATCACCTGTTTACAAGTGCTGCTTAGGAACTGCATTGAAATTTTATACTCACCTCCTATGTATGTCTATTGTCGGCACCACTGCTGGAACGTTTCGTGGGTTTCCACGGCTTTTCGTGCCAGTCATTTTGAAGCGGACAGCTTAGCGATTACTTACCA